TTTGGAGTATATTTCAATGCCTTACGTAGTTTGTCAGTGCCATCCATCAGCTTGGCTATGGATGACTTTGTTTCTCAGATGATTTCTGGACTTTTTCATTGGAGCAGGAGCCGGCTTCCATTTAGAGAGAAGCTTCTTTGTGGCTTCGCTGCACTTCGGCCTGTATTACTCGTATTTGCTCTCGGGCATTCTTGCTTCCCTTCTGTTTTTTAAATTTACCAATATTTCTTAAAGCAGTTGCAAAACTGCGTAGTTATTAGCACGTGTATTTCACTGTCACCTGAAGGACTTTTTTCCATCTCCTTTTCTAGCTGGTATTTGCTCAGTTTGATGGAAGTGTCTTGTGTGTGCGCCTGCGTTTCATTTCAGTGACAGAGAAATAGAGTGTGAACCGTAGATAAAACTTCAGGCTGGTTAAAATATTTCCACTTCTAGTTAATTATAACCTGGAAATCCTCTCCTAAATATAGGCTTGCTTGAGCTATTATTAACATTGGCTTTAGAGAAACCTCTTTGATTTAAGACAGACTGTTCCCTTGTATTTGCTCTTCTGCCAGAGGAAGTCTGTAACTGAAGGCTAATATTGAATTACTGAATGCAGTTCTTTTTCTCACTGCTTTGCTGTGACAAATTCTTTAAACCTCAATAATTTGCTTACATTTTATAGCTACTTACAGCTTTGCAGCATGATTTAGGATATATTTTTATCTGAGTAATCCCATTACTTTGTTAAAACTGGCAGCCATGACACAATTCTCAAAAGATAAGGTGGGTTTGCTGGGATGCAGCCCCTGGGCGCCGCACACCGCCACGCTGGCAGGCCTTTGGTGGCACTTTTTTCCCTTGAATCTCTATGGAAATGTTACCTTAGCGTTTTGATGGAGGAACTCCACGTCTGGCAGGTGAAATGCAAGCATAAGGTAGTTTTACAGTCGCATAATTATAGCGTGAGAATCCAATGGTTTACTTGTAAATTTTGGCTTAGTTGAGTTGTCGCGCTTGTGGGCATATACGTAAAGAATCAATTTTCCCTGCAGTTTCGGTTGGTCAAAACAGGATTAGAACTTTTTACAAATTCTGCGCCATATTAGACAAACAGATTTGGGTTACAAATGTCTGCATACTTAAGTGTAATCTGGTCCCAACAGGGCTCCATTATTATTGTAAATATACTGATATCATAGATGAAAGTTGATTTACTTCTAAAATTTTTTTATTTTTTAATTTTAAGTATCTCTTAGGGATTTGCTTGTAAGCAGTTGAAATATATTTGATTTTCAGTTGAGTACCTTTGGTAGCTAAGGCTAGGCTTAAAGAAGCAGGAAATCACACAAATATGAAGACTGGGATTTTATTTTTTTTTAGTGTAGCATCTTGGTTTCGTACCCTGACAAAATTCCCCTTGGAATGGAACTAACGCCTGAGCTGCGGCATGTTGTTCAGCTTGTTGATCTGGCTGGAAACTCGCCCTTGGGAGAGGGGTTGGGAAAAGACTTGCCCGTATTTTTTTCCCCCTTGGTAGGTAGGCTTTCACTCAGAATTTTGTTATTGGGAAATCCCTGTCTATCTGAATGATAATATTTCATAGTTAGTGTTTGGGCAGTCTTACACAATCTTGCCCGAGCAGAAAAATGGTTTGAGCAGGCTTTTGTCATGTTCTAACATGTCATGTAACCATGCTATTTCTGAATTAAGAGTCAAGGATTTTATTTATTTTATGCATTTACTAGAAAACCTCTTAATAGTGTAAAAGTAGAGGTTTATGTTTGGGGCACAAAGAGTTCCAAGTTGTTTTGTTGCTTCCGTTTTTAATGGGGTAGTCAGTGTCTCATAGGGGAGATAAGAGTCTCTAGGACACAAGACATGAAAATATTTCTTTGTGGTGGGTAGCGGAGGTTGAGTGGAATGGGCAGTTGGGCCCGCAGAGGGATTTCTGCTTCCCTGGGAGCACGTGCACAGTTGGCTACTGAATGTGTTTTGACTTCTCTGACCTCTGGTAAGAAGAATTTCACTATCTGGAAACAGCAGACAGTCATCTAGTGCATGCAGTGCTGCACAGGTGCAAAGAGAGGCTTCTTTGGGGGTGTTTTTTGTGGGGGAGGTGTTGGCTTGGGGTTGGTTTGGGGTTTTTTTTGTTTTGCTATTTTTAATGAACTAATTATGTGCTTGCATTTTGTAGCTCTGGCTATGGGCCTGTGTGTTGCAATGATAGCCTTTGTTCGGCTGCCGAGCCTGAAGGTTTCCTGCTTGCTACTCTCTGGGTTACTAATTTATGATGTCTTTTGGGTAAGTGTTTTGTTTGGTTTTGCTAAAACTGTTTTTATCCTTTGGCTTTATAATTGGCCTTGGGCCATTTTTACATGAACTCTACTAGTATGAAGTTGATGAAATCTGGCAAAGCCAGAAGGTCAGCTTCATTGCTCCGTTCTGAGACGTTAAAAGTCTGCAGCAGGATACAGAATGATTTCCTCACTAATTAGTTGACAAAAGCAGAAACATGATTAGAATATTTCAACTCTGGCATATTATTTTAAAAAAGAAATTGGACCTCAGATTTTGAAAGCCTGGTTGAAGATCAGACCAAGCATTTCCAAGTAAAGACAAATCCTTATCCACGCTTGCACTGTGCGCACGTGCCAACTTCCGATGAGCAGTGAAATCTGCAAAACGGGAATGCAAACTGATTTATAGCCAGGAAGGTTGGCATAAAACCTTACCGCGCTTTTACAAGAAACCTGACAGAATATATTTTGTAATACTGAAAGGATTTTATTTTACCTTCACACAACACCAAGCGCTGATCCAGGGCAGCGCTTGCTGACAGCTCTGGCAGCCAGTCAGTTCCCCAGTGTGATGAGCTGTGGCGTAAGAGCCTGTCTGAAACAAGCGTTGCATCATGGCACTTGCCTCTTCTCTGCTTTCAAGCTTTCTCATATTTTTGGAATCCTATTACCTGCCTTTGTAGTCCTGGGCTACCTACTTGTAGTCTGGACAGATCCTTTGCCAAAGGATCTCAAGATACTGATCAATATCTTGATATCAGAAAGTATATTCCAGTTATTCTTGAGGATTAATAGTGTAAAAAACTTCATGTGAATTTTTGAAATACATTTTGTCTTTTATTGTCATATATACAATGTATATATGTGGGAAATTTGGACAAGATCCTTTCTTTTCTTGAATAAGCAAAGCAAAAATACATGTTGCTATATAATTGCAGTTTGTAATTTCTGATTATTTCCTTGCTCCATAGGTCTTTTTTTCTGCCTACATCTTTAACAGCAATGTTATGGTGAAAGTGGCCACACAACCAGCTGATAACCCCCTGGACGTTTTATCCCGGAAACTTCACCTGGGACCAAATGTGGGTAGAGATGTTCCCCGTCTGTCGCTGCCTGGTAAACTTGTATTTCCAAGGTAAAATCAGCAGCTCTTCTACTGTATTATATAAGAAAAAATTTCCCTCCCTCCTGTACTTTTTAGTAGCACTAATTCTATTGGAAAATACCAGCTTAGTTCCCTGTTTAGTCATTCCCTCTTTGTGATAAAAAGGTACGTCATGAGTAGTGAGGATTGGACATTTTGCATTTGCTGACATTTGCATGCAGAAACGATCCTCATTAGGTTAAAAGGCGGCCTGTGCAGAACAGGATGTGCTTTTCGACATACGTGTGAGTTCTACAGTTTAATGACTGCTGTTGTAGGATTTATGGCCTACTGCTTAAAGGCAAAAGACCTGAGGTTTATTATAACATCAGAATAGTCTTGATTACTGCGTAATTGCAAATGATTGGGAAGGGAGTTAGAAATTGTTCTAAGCAAGGACAGCTTACTGGGTACGTGCTGTGTTGGAGGGAGATTATTCCACATCTCTCTACTGCAGGGGTTCTGCAACGTCTCAGGTTTTGAACCAGCTATGCCTGGGCCTGCTTGGGCAGTCCGCTGCTGCGCGCCAGCAGTTATGCAGTAGGACAGGGTGGCACATTTGCTCTGTTCTTGTTTCTTTAGATGTTGGGATGCTGAAATTACAGAGATTAGGAGTTGATTGTCTGCCATGATAAAGACAAAATTGTTCATTTTGTCAACTTTGCGATAACTTGATTTGGCTTCATTTTCATGAAAAAGATCTTGGCTTTAAGATAATGGGCAATTTTATTTCTTAATCTACTCAGCAATTTGCTCTTTTCTGGGAGTCTGGTGAGACTATAATTTGCCACGTGCTTTGTCTGAATGATGCCAAAGACCTGAGAAGTCCATAAGGTGATGTATCACCTGCTATTAGAGGTGATCTATGTACACGGGAATGAAGTGCAGTGTCTGTCAGTGTTAATCAAACGGTTTGATGAAGTGGTCAGCTGGTACCTCCCATCAGCGCTTAGAAGAGAGAAGACTGAAGTACTGAGCTGAGGGACCTGTTTCATTGAGTCAGTTAAGAGCAAAAGCAGCTTAAACACGACTGGTAGAAACAAACTGGTTTGGAACAACATGTCTGTATGTTTAAAACTGAGCTGAGGTGGTGGTGAAATCACCGAGGAAAAAAAATATTCAGAAGCCAGCTTTTAGCTTCTACTACATAAAAGTTTGCCAGTAGAAAGAAGGGATGTGCAAAACAAAGCTCAGAACCGAAGTGGAGGAGGCTAGAGCTTGTCCCCTTTTGTCTTGGGCACGAACCCAATTCCAGCTGCTCTCCAGTTCCACAGGCAGCCACTTCTCCATGCTGGGGATCGGAGACATTGTGATGCCAGGTCTTCTGCTCTGCTTTGTTCTGCGTTACGACAACTACAAAAAGCAAGCCAACAGCGATTCCTGTGGTGCCCCAGGACCAGGGAACATCTCTGGACGTATGCAGAAGGTCTCTTACTTTCACTGCACACTTATTGGATATTTTGTAGGTGAGTAATTAGTTTAATGTGGACAGCTGCTTAGTGAGCAGAAGTGGGATTATTGTAGTAGGTTTAAAAGATGATGAAAGCAAGCATAAAGAGGCTTTGAGAGAACACTTGGTTATGTTCCTTTTTAATCCTCCTCTCTTTGGGTTTCATTGGCGTGGTCTAGGGAGAAAAAGCTTTCTGCAGTTTTCTATTTATGATTTTTTTGTTGTTGTATTTTATTTAGAGGATGAAAGAGATTATCAGTGTATTATTGTTAGCAACTTTTTAGGCTTTGCTTTACTAGCATAGAAGGTGTCGTAGCTCATACCTGGGTTATGGGAAACATGGGAGCTTCCAGATGCCTTATGCTGCGTAAGAGTACACCTAGGTAATTAATCTAGGCAATTCTGGCATTTCTGTATTCTCCTGTTAATGCTTATGATCCTGCGACATCTTAGTACATACAGAACATCGTAAGTAGTCACAACTGGAATGCTGTTTTTGATTTGATGTAGTCATCCCTCTCCTCCCTAACATAAAATAGATTTTTTCCCTACGGTCAGGACATGTGTGTGCATATCCTGACCTGCAGCTCTTCTGAGGATGAAAAGGAACAATCATACCAATAGCCTTCCTCCTCCCCCCTCATCTTTCCCACTACGTCCCCTTACGGCAAGAATCCAGGAAAATCATTCCTGGCGTGTACAATCCTTCCTCTCAGCCCCCCGTTCCTCAGGCCGGGGCCTCAGTCTCAAGAGGTGCCAGCACTGGAGTAGCACTTCAGTGGGGTACATTCAGCTGCCTCCCCTTCGCCTTTTGTTGTGTTTTGTCTGAGGTACTCTTAGCTTTGTCTTTGAGATTCAAAACCGGAGCAAGTGGCTCAACACAGCCTAATATTAAAATAGAGTATTTTTTCACGGTTTTGTTTGTTTTACATCTGTTCAGGGAAAGTGAAGCACAGATAAGTAACTTTTCCACAGCCCGTCCTTTAAAATGGTGGGGAAGGGAGCCACGTGGGGATGAAATGATTAGAACATCCATACGCAACCTAAAGGCGTTTACAGTCACTTCTTTCTTTTACAGGTCTATTAACTGCAACAGTAGCTTCTCGTATTCACCGGGCAGCCCAGCCTGCCCTGCTCTATTTGGTACCTTTTACTTTATTGCCGCTCCTCACCATGGCCTATTTAAAGGTAAGACAGGATTACGTATTTGCAGCAGGAAGCCCTGGGGTCAGCTGGCAGCGGGTTCCATGCTCTTGCGCTGGGCGCCAGTTCTCATGCGGATGACGCGCGTCCGTAACAGCCCTGGCCCAGAACAAAGGTACCGCTGCTGTCGGGGTGAATCTTCATTTTGGAGGACTGAGTAACTGAGAGATGAGTTCCTGAAATATGTACGTGAAGTACCAGTAATTACAAACTAACCAAATGCTGAAGAATTAAATACTGGTTTAATTAAATAAGTGAATTTGTCCTCGCCCAGCTGGTCATGAATGAATGTGTGCACAAAGGTCGAACGGAGATTGGAGAGGCAGATCCTTGTTTACCTCTTTCCAGTCACCTGCTCTGAAATTTTAAAATGCAGGGCTGTTGTTGAAAACACACATCGAGCGCTCTGCAGAGCAGAGTGTAAGAAAGGGCAGAATTTTCCACCTGCATAAATACTTCCTTCCCCATCAGGAACCCCTTTTAGGTCGATCTGCTGCAAACAAAGACGTTCTGGCCTGACGGGGCCAGGACTGTCGTACTGTAATTTGCAGAACAGGTGAAGGATAGATTTGCTTTAAGACATGCTTGCAATTATATGTGCATTTTAAAATCTGAATTCTAAGTGGACTTCAGAGTTTCTGAGGGCATGGTCCTTCTGCTGTTTTCCTGCCTAGGGCGATCTACGTCGCATGTGGTCTGAGCCTTTCCACTCCAAGTCCAGCAGCTCCCGTTTCCTGGAGGTATGATGGAACAGACAGGAAGTGACCTGAACTTCTGCCTTGGTCCTTTTCACTTTAACTTGTGGCTTTGTTGTCTCCTAAAGCTGGACTGGCTGGTACTTGGGAAGGTACCAATTACGGGACTTGTATGAAGGGACTTTGTATTAGAAGGAGGAAAAGGAAAAAAAACTAAGACCCTGGAGCTCCGTGTGACTCCGTATCTCCCTGCAGATGTGGAATTGGGGACCCTTTGTGCAACTGCAGCCACTTTCCTCTTTTCCTCGCTCGGATGGATTAGTACCAGGCTATTACCTGTGTGAGAGAGGAAGAGACAGACTTGAAACTGAAAACGACTTGAGGTCGTTCAAAAACTTGTGAACACTAAAAGAAAAAACCGTTAAGCAAACTGAAGCTTCAGAGAACCCTCGTGGACATTGGGACCAGTTTCCTGCTGGACTTCGGTTTTGAAAAGAACTGAGACAGAAGGTCTTCTGTCACAATACTAGGGGTTTTTTTTTTTTTGATTTATTAAATATTTCCTGTGGTGTGAGGTTACTTATTAAATCCACAGACATTGAGTGACTTCTTGCAGTATACATATAAAAATTTGTTGTAACAAGTTACATTTCCACCCAGATGTCATGTTGCAGTGAAAAAGGGCACGATTTTTATACATATATATATACACACATATAGATATATATATGAATAAATAAAAAGGAAAACCTGCTAAGATCATGCTATGTAGCAGACAGGGGCTTGCTGTAATTTTTAGCATGTAGAGAAGTTTACGATGGCTTTCTTGTATATGGATCTACAATGAGCTGCTGTCCCCCCCCTACAACTGAACCTGCAGTTGAAAAACAAGTGTAGTATTTGTACTGACTGTACTCCTGGACTTTAGGGGATATTCGATTTTGATCAATGTAGCAAACTAGGGAAGAAAAAAGTTCAAACCCAACCTTGGTCGTTTGGGGGGGGGGATGGGGGGGGGGGGGGTGTTTTTTTTTTTTTTTTTTTTTTTTCTTTTTTCTTTTTTTTTTCCCCCCCAACAGCTCCCTTGCAGGTTTTTAGTAGTTCCTTCTTGACCCAGTGCATGTATTATAGCAGCAATTGTCTTTGTGCTTTCTGATCATAGTAATGTATCACTTGTAAATACATTTTTTCTATTTTCTATTTTTTTGTATTTTTTGCATTTTGTTTCATTAGTGTGCTGTATTTTTTCCATGCCCCTGCCCCTTAAAGAAGAAAAAAAAAAAAAAAAAAAAAAAGGAAAAAAGAAAAAGAAAACTGTCCTTTACTGTTGTGACTGGTTGGCGTTTGTGTGTTGACTGCTTTGCACCTGTAGCCTGTTGAAATGTGGATTTTATCTTTTTTTTTTTTTTTTTTTTTTTTTTTTAAACCAGCAGTTCCAGTTCTGTTATTTTATTGACTGAAAGGCTTCCCTGAGGTAATGAGAACTTTTGTCCTTTACAATACTCTACCAAATTGGGCTTGGGGAACTCTCCTGGTCGTAGCTCTTGGTAGCTGGATGGATGCTGGTAACTGTTAGCTGACTGGACGGGAAACAGGAATGTTTAAGGATGAACCTGACTGAACAGTAACATCACTCTGGGGCACGGTGTCATTACAGAGGTAAGGAAGCTTCAGTGAAACACCTGATCCGTTCTGCTCTGTCAGATGTTACAAGAAGAGCATATTTGGAGCAGAAGAAAATTTTGTCTGGCCACGTGTTTGTACGGTCATTAATTAACCCCTTCCTCTGTTCTCAGGCAGGTCTGCCGCTGCTCGCAGGCAGGGGGGCTGATGAGGCCGATGGCCTCCGAGCTGGCTGCAGCGGATCTCTGAGACAGGTACAACATCTGAAGAAACAGTGAGAAGCAGCGCAGCCCTTCACAGGGGCAGGGGGCTCCAAGATTAGCAAGTGTGAGCGGGTGGGTGTGGCAAGGGGGATGGTGTGACTTTATTTTCATTAATCTTATCTTAGTTGAAAGCATTTCCTCTATCGTGTCTGCAACACTCACTGTCAGGGAACTGTCACGTCTTAATGAAGCAAATGGGTTATAATTAAAAATTTGCTTTTATGGTTCATAGCAGGTGTTAGGTCCCAGACTTTCAGTCAGCTTGGGATAAGGGAAAGGCATCAGTTTTCAGCTACACACCTCAAGGTGAATAAAATATTGATATTCAGGATATTCAGAGAGAGAAAAAAAGACACTTCTGGGTTGGTTTTTTTTTGCCCAGAGGTTCCGAGCAGTGGAATAACATTTTTAGATCCAGTTTGCTACTGCTTTATCTTCCCAGCCATTCCACCTGATAGCAATGCACATCTCAGGTGCTTTCAGCTTCTCGGCAGTTCCCTCCTGCCTTTGGAATTAAAATAAAAGGCCTTTCTTTATTTTGCAGTGGCATTTCTTTATTCCCCACCAGGAAAACGTGCCTATGAATGATCTTCTACACTTAAAATGGGTTCTGGAAAAAGTTCTAGGAGTGCTAATTGACAAATGCTTAATGAGAATTAATTCAGCTTTCCAGAAAAATCTTGGCCTGCCTTTTTAAGCTGTATTGCCCTCCTGCACGCTCTGCGACCTTCTGACTTGAACTGAGGGAAGAGACTGAGCTGTAACTGCAACGCTTTGTTGCTGAACCCACAGGTAGTGCCTGCTGCACTGAGCCGACTGCCCCACTTCCCCAGTGGGAGCTTGCACCTGCCAGGTGAGCAAAATGGGACTGAAAACTGTTTGCCCCTTCAGCATGGAACAAGAAAAGGAGTTTGGTGCTTTGCAGAGGTTAACTGAAGCGTAACTGTTCTAAATACAAAGCTATTCCACTTGCAGAGGGAAAAACATCCTCCTAGGCTTTCCGAGTAAGTGAAAGCTGTAAAGCTTTGTCCCACGGCCGCCCTGTCTACAACCACCTCAGCATTCGGGGGGATTAGAACCAGATTCTTACCTCGCTACTCAGCTGCTGGGCCCTCTCTGTGCAGATGCACCTTTTGTCCTTGTTTCTTCAGTCTGGCCGACTACGCATCTTCTCAGCTCAAGGTGAAGTTGCACAAGCTCCTTTGGGTTTCCAGAGGCCATCGAGGGCCTAGGGTTCCCTGTCCCTGGGGTGCAGCACAGTTGTTCATGCCGCCTTGGTTTAGCGTTTTGTTGAACTCCTTAATAAACTACTTGGCACACAGCCCTGCAGTGGGATCACTGAGCCCCTTCTTCTGAAAAGGTGTCAGAAAAAAAAATTTCAGTAGTTGTTTGACTAATATAAGCCTTCTTATAGGAAGGTAAAAGGATACTGGCAAAAAAGTGATAACCAGAGCCTGTTTATAGCAAAGTACAAACCTGTTAATGGTTCTGGAGTCGGTTTTGTGCTCTGTCTTTGTGAATAGTCAGCTTAGAAATTCTACTGTTTGTATTTTGAAATTTCCCTAAGGTCACACTTAATCTTGCAAACATTATGAGTTCAGAAGTGACCCGGGGGTTGTCTAGCCCGTTGTGTCGCACTCAGAAGGCTTTTGCTGAGATGAACATTTCCTGTCTTGAGCATGGAAGCACGGTGTGTTCTGTGAGGGAAGGGGAAGACGTCACGGAGGCGATGAGGAAATACACGCTGTCGGTTTGGTGGCTGCCCCAGCTCAGCACTGACCTCCTTAGAGGGGGAAGTGGAGGGAAGGCTCTCAAGTATTTTTCTTTTTATACAATTAGTGAGCGAGCAGAATTTGAAACTAATTTTTAGCTAAACAGTAGTAAACTGCGTTTTTCATTCAAGCAACACCACTGTCACATTTTCTTATCTCTGTTTCATTTCTTCTTCCCATTATAGGTACTTTGCTCTTTCACTTCAGGATGTCTTTCAAATTTGGCATGTTTCACGCTTTCCAAGACCCCCAGCCTTACCTGAATGTGTGGCTGTTGCCAGGTCTGTGTGTATAATGAGGGCTCTCGACTTCTGCAAACCAAAATTTTAATTTAAAATTGAAATAATTTGTCCTGTTTTTTCTTATAGATAAAGCTGTCAGGGAAGACTACTAGAGAGGACTATTCTGGTGGGAAAGCAATGCTACAGCCATTTCAGCCGAGTCCTGTGGAAAATTTTATACACTGCTTAAACTTGGAAGGCTGAGATGGAGCTTCTGGTTTTTTTTCAAAATTGTGTGAAATTGAGAGGTGAGCCCTGTCCCGCTGTGCTCCAAGGAAGGCAGATGCTTCAGAAGGGGATCCAGACTCCAGGCAGCTCTTCATTCCTGGTGGGGGACGGGCCAAGAAGGATGTGGGTCAATGTCTGTGCTTCTCCCCAGGAAGAGTTAAATATTTCTCACCTGTGTGCATTTAATTGTGACAGCCCAGAACAGCTCGTCTCTTCCTTTAGTCTGTTGGGAGCTCACATGAAGAGACTGTGAGCTTTATATACAATATAAAACATATCAAATATAAGGTGAGGGGAAGTAACTCCTTGTTATTTTAACTGTGTTTCCTAAGAAATGATTCAAGTTAGGGCTCCCCCTGCTTCATTCCCAGTCTGTTCTGTAACCAGTTTCACATATGCTTAAGAGCGTTGTGGGGCTAAAACCCACAATGCCCTTGGAAAGGTGTAGCTGTGGCTTATCTCCTTTCCCCACCTCTTTCTAATTTATGTATGACCTGGTTTTCCCAGCTCGGCGCCCCAACTGTGCAATGTTGGCTGAGTTTGTAAACTGATAAAAACATTTGGCTTCACCTGTAAATAGACCCTTTTCTCCAAGGAAAGCCTGGCCCTGCCCACACCTAGCCAGGTTACGCTGTCTGGGGGTGGCTCTCGGGAAGAGCTCCCTCTGTAATGCTGCAAAACATGTTTGTGTTCTGCGCTTTCAGCAGTTCTGTAACAGCCCTGAGGAGCAGACGCACGTGCGGTACAGCCACAAGTCTCTCGGCCAGCAGCAGCAAGGAGTAAGCTCTTGGTATCTTGCTCCGGGAAAAGCCAGTTCTTTGCTCTCGGAGCTCTGGGGCAGGCTTTGTGCATAACCGTGCTGTTTACCCAAGCACTGCTGCAGACAGTGTGTGTGGCAGGTTACCAGTCCCTCTCCGGACCTGTGGCAGCAAGGAAGGTATTGGCAAGCTTTTGTTTAAGAGACTTTGCACCCTTAAAGTGTGTTTTTAAGTAATAGCAAAAGGGAATTCTGATAGAGTATCTTAAGCTGCTGCTAGGCTCAGGAACCTGACTGGATGCTGTAGCTACACCAGTGATGGGTTTTATTTATTTTTTTTTTGTACCAGCTCCACCCTTTCAGTAAGTTGATGATGTGCAGTGTAATTTGATACAGGTTATGGCAGAGGTGCAGCACTCAGCAAGTTAGCATCAAGTACGCAGTTGTGAGCCAGGTCAGCTGTTGTACTGATGTCAGAGCAAGCAAGAAGCTCGTTAATGAGGCACGCGGTGCGTGATCCAGGCGCTCCCAGAAGCAGACTCTGATCACAGGCACAGCATCTCGTTTGTTGGTTCTTAAGGTGTGTTCTCTGTCAGCCGAGGTGTTCATCGCTGTTCCCCCCCTTAGGTCAGCCATGGTGCGTGTTCAGGGGCAATTTCACTCTGCTCTGGAGAAGGGAAGCTGCAGTCATTTAGTGTTGGTAAGTGAAGGAGGCGGGATGTTGAAGAGGAGCAGGCTGAAAGCACCGATGGTACAGTAAAGCAGAGCTAAGAGAAGCAGCGAATGCTCTGGGTCACTGGGGATTCAGCTGGACTTGGGCACAAGAGGTCAGCAAAGGCTCTGCCTTCCCAAAGGTCTCACTTGCGGAGTTCCTGTTCCAGCTGAGTGGCTGCAAGAAGTGTAAGGTAGTAATCACAGTCATAGATATCAGCCTTCAGCAATCATCAAAGAGGTGACACGGGCTGAAATCAAGCTAGAGAAGTGTCTCTCCCTCCTAGAAGCTCTCCATAATTTACAACACATTCACAGTCATCAGGATGGTTTCCCAGGAGAAGTACTCCTCCTGAATTCACTGCCTGGCTCTGTTTCTGTTAATCCTCAGGTTTGTGAGAGCAGCAAGGAGAAATTCAAGACTTCAAGACTGTGCCCTCTAGCGACCTGCAAAGGGATTATTGATATTGCTGGGACATCTGCACCTCAAAGCGGTGCCTAACTGCTGTGTGCAGGCCCTGGTGGTTCATGCTCCTGTCTCTTGTGACTGAAGAAAATACACTAAATGAATTCACATGTGCATTAAAAAAAAAAAAAAGAGTGGGGACTTGTGGTCCTTTAAAATCAGGTTTTATTTGTCTTCTCTGCTTTCTTATGCGTAATAGAATCCTCCTGGTTCTCTCCACACAAACCTAGATAAATGGCACCACAGGAAAATAACCATTTACTTGTTGTTTGGACAAGGGGGCGGCCCAGACAGGCTGCAGTCTTAATCCTCTGCATCTTTTCCAGATTTAGAGCTTTTCTTTTTTCTGTTGAATCTCCTAGAAGTTAATTTCTTGCCAAAGGTAACTGATTGAGGAGATGTGCTACTGGTAAGGTTTTTCTATGTCATCTCTGCATTTCCTTGTTGTTGCCCAACATGTAGAGATTAAAGACTGTTTCTGCCACTTCAGGCACTTTCCTGTTGGGTAGTTGTTGGTATCGTAAAAGCAGCTCTGGGAGCAGAGGGGGTTTTTTTGTTGTGTGTTGGTTGTTTGTTTTTTTTTAATCGGTCTCGGGCATTGCAGCTTTTCTCTCCTCTGCTTTTACACCCACACCTGCTGGGCTCTGCTGGGCAAGATCAAGGGGTTTTTTCTGACCTTTGTTTTTACATCGTCACAGACAGCAACCACAGGCTGTGCCAGGAGCCCTTTGTGTGTAGGTAGTACCTGAGTCCTCCCATCTGGCTCCTCTCCTGCCGACAGTGGGGAGAAGTGCACTGCTGCAAGGATTACCTCAGCACAGCCTGCATCCAGTTAGGAGCTCATGCATAGCCACGTCCCACACCTGAAATTCATCAAAGTCTGATCAGAAGAGGCAATGTAACCCCCAGCCTGGAACAGGACGCAGGGGTTGCCTCTCTCAGTGCCTCTAACTTTGGCACTGGTTATCGAGTACCACATAGTGACAAATCCTTGCACAGGCAGTGGCCGGGAAGCGCACAAGGAGAGCTGCTGACCTCACTAAACAGCAAAGTCATTTTACCACTACCAAACCAAAACAAGGCTCCAGGTTTAGGAAAAGGACCTACGCTCCCCTCCAAGGACAGGTTGCCTCCTCCGTCCTGCACTCACAGCCATCGCTTGCAAAGCTAGGTATGGCCTTCTGTCCACCATACTTTGTCCAAAGAAGAATCAGCACATTTTTAACAAGAGGGTCAGTTACTCATTGGTGAGGAAAACTTCCATCATTAGCCATGTTCAAGAGGGCCATGGCTTGATCCCTGTTGTGCGCCATTACAAGGCACTTTGGGGCAGTGTCTTTCTCTACTTGGCTTCTTCAGCTACGGTAGGCCTTGAGCAGTTGACCTGCTATCACCAGTCTTTGGATCTCACTGGTCCCCTCATAGATCTCGGTGATACGAGCATCGCGGTAATGGCGTTCTGCTGGCATCTCTGTCACGTAGCCCATCCCCCCCAAGATCTGGATGGCCTGAAACAAAGGTAGGTTAGAAAGGACGCAGGGTCAAGGAACTCATTTTCTACAGAACACAGCCACCTTCAAAAGGAGCTAAGCCTGCTGCAAGCATAATAGGGGAGGGCGGGGATGACACCCTCACCCAGGGACAACTGCAGCCCATTAGCAATCAATCGGAGGACTAAACAGGATTTGAGCCAGCAATATACCGATGACCCAGAGAATGAACAGCTTCAGAGGTAGTGTTAGTGACCCACGTTCAGCTAAGACACACTTGTTAATGATGGGGAAATAAATGCGGACACCAGAGGTCCTGCTCCATTTGCTCACTATGTTGTGAAGTTACTACTAGTCCTGACTGCAGCAGCAGGCACAAGATGACTTTAATAATACAGGTGCCACAAGCCAGCATAAATCCCAGCACACACACACCCCCCCACACCCTATGGCTGTGCTAACCAGCTTCAACCAGAGGGGTTGGTTTGTTGGGGTTTTCTTTAAAAAAAATACAGTAAATGCCATGCTGCCTTCCCCAAGTACTTGTGCAACAACGCAGTCTCCCTTTAGCATGCTGTACATCAGAGATGCCAAGTGAAGTAATTACCTGATGAGCAATGGCTGTTGCAGCTTCTGATGCAGCCAGCTTGGCCATCGCTGCTTCCTTTGGGGAAGGAAAACATCACTGAGGGTGCAGCTATCACAAAAAGGAACACCTCACTTGCATGAGGAGCTGGAAAACTCACAGACCAGCTGTGCAGAGACAGGACTGATCATTGGTGCCAGCTGACAGTGGCCACCCCTCTCCCCCTGGCTAAAGCCAGGCCTCGGCTCAGCAGGCTGCCTGAGGTTAGGCAGCAGAGTCCAATACCTGCCAGTGGGTTAAACACTGACAGTGCTGGCTGGGCAGGAGCTGAACGCAGCTGTGCTGTACATAGCGTGGTTTCTTGCCTTGAGCCTGTGCCCAGCACTGTCGCTGCTAGACAAACACAAGGTTAGAAATACCTTTGTGAAGGGCTTCCCATTGTCTTTCAGCATAGCAGCTCTCCAGGTCAGCAAGCGCGCACCCTCCAAGGCCACAGCCATATCTGCTAGCTTAAACTGCAACGACAGACACTGCCTTTGTTCCAGACAGCAGCCTATGCCTGCTCAAGAACGTAGCGCAGAAGTCTCCCACCGCTGAGGCCAGTATTGCTAGAAAAGGAGTGCCTCCTCCCAACCATCGGCTTGAGCGGTGTTTGAAAACATAAATTATTACCTTGTTTATCCCAGTACACAGTGCAAAGTGTGCCTGAAGCCACGCCCGAGAGCACACGAACCTTCCACCCGCACCAGCCAAGTCTGCAACTGCCCCGTCTGCCCAGCTCGTACCTGCACTGCCTGTAGCTTTGTGATGGGTGACCCAAAGGCCATTCTCTTTTCAGCATAATCCACAGCACAGTCCAGAGCTGCCTGCGCTATTCCAAGAGCCTGTGAGGCGATACCAATCCTTCCTGCATCCAGCGTTTGCTGCAAAAGACACAAAATATGTGTGTTATGTCACGTCGTGCTTGATCAAAAATAGGACACTCACATTTCTGCTCTTGCTGGGAAGCTGCTGTAGCCTTAGTATCCTCTGGTCAGACTGCCTTGATTCAGAATATTCCTCGTTATGCAGGAATAGAGCTATAAAATGTCCTGGCACTGCAGAGAGAAGACGGAGTACAAGAAGGAAAGCAGAAAGGAGAGGTATTGCTTCTTGTTAGCTGGGTTAAAAAAAGGGGGGGGGTGCAAAAAAAAGGCAAACAGCACAACAAGGAGCATCTCTGGAAGGGGCTGAAAAGAACCCTTCAGCTGGACCCCTGGCTCACTGCGCAGCTCATTTCACTATAACTGCAAAAAAAAAAAAAAGGGAAATCTGGGCAGTTTTCCTCTCTGCCCTCATCATTAGTACAGACACACCTAAGCAAGCATTTTTCAAAATGACTAGTGAATTGAGTCAATAACCCAATTTACCTGAAACACCTGCCCATTAGGCTTTAACTCCTTCCCTGCCTCACTATGCACTCGAAGAATTTACAGCACAGTGAGAAAAGGCTTCGTTTTCTCAGCCCTGGGCTGAGTGTCATAAAAAAAGTCATTGGTGACTGATGCACTCTTTTAGTTGTGGACATAATGGAAGGGGCTGGTCTCCAGGGAGCACAGCCTTTTTGAAAAAGTCAGGCCAACAAATGGTGGTTTGCCCCTGCAGAGAGAGCAGTGAAGGCTTCCAAGGGGAGTGCATCACTGCAGGGAACCTGCCGTTCCTGGCTCTTCCTCAGAAGTCACACAGGTGCCATTAACATCCACCTTTAGATGCTATCCAGCAGTTGTCCTGTGCCTCCAGGACTGCTTTCCTCTGCCAAAGTATTTAGGGAAAAATGACGTGTTTTCTCTTTATCTATGGGTAGAGAGTGGCGGAATAGAGGGTTGGGAGAGGAGAAAAATTAAAATACACCAACCCTGCTCACACAGTGCCTCAGCAGTATCAGCATTCCTTCATCTGAGAACCACCACATTGAGTCTATAATAAAAGTGCTATCAAGGATCTATGGCAAATTAATGATTCATCAAGCCCTATGAATGATTTCTCCCACGTTGGCAAGAGGGGTCAACTGCTTAATGTTAAACAGAACAGCTTACACCAACGGTTCTCACCAAAGTGCTCCTAAGTCTGTAAACAGTTTTGAAAAGGTAAGCTTGGGAACTACAGCTTTACACAACCACAGCTGCATCCCGATCCATCTCTTACCATGGCAATTTTGAAGCCCATTCCCAGCTGCCCCAGTAGGTTGGCCTTGGGTATCCGACAGTCCTCAAATATCAGGTTGGCAGTGGAAGAGGCTCGGATTCCCAGCTTGTCTTCTTTCTTCCCCAGTGACAGCCCAGCAGTTGGCATGGGAACCAGGAACGCACTAATGCCCTGCAACAAGACCCATCCTCTTAGGAATGGTGCCAACTTCCCGCTTACCTGGGTGTGAAGAGGCTTCCTCCAAACATTTTTCACAGGAGCCACATGTCCAGGTAAGCGGGAGAAGGGAGGAGAGAGCTGACACAGAACAAAGCCAGCACACATCAGCCCCTCCTCTGCTCAATGCCTGCACCACTCTAAATACAGACGCCCCAGAGCCTTTTCAAAGTGCTTCTGCACAGCTCCTTTACTCCCAGCCCTTTTTCCTCACTATCCCACTGAACGCACCTTGTGCTTCAGGGATTTATCTGTAGTAGCAAACACCACAGTGGCCGAGGCGTCCCAGGCATTGGTGATCCAGGCCTTGGTGCCATTCAGAACCCACTCGTCACCATCCAGGCGTGCCACCGTGGATGCCGCACCAGCGTCACTGCCATTTCCTGAGCAAGGCACCAGCAAACAAAACTCAGGCAATCATTGGCAGCCTGGGCCACAAACCCACTCCTGCCCGCACCCCCACCCCGCCCCATCAGCTCATGGCACCCCTTGTAACTGTCATAGTGACGGCACCATCCCTGCCACAGGACCCAAACAGGACGGGGAAAGGCCCACGTGTCTAAGATGCGTCCATCTCCAGAGCTCTGCTCTCAGAGAGGGGATGAAAATTTTCAGTGTGGACTACAAGGATGGTCGTTAATACCTTGGGCACTGACACTTCATTTACACAGAATTGCTATAAACCACTTTTCTACAAACTGCTACAATTTCACAGACCTAAAGCCCATCCGAAACCTGACTAAGGAAATAAGCTACCCTACGTTCTTTACAACAGGAATGGTAACAGTCACATCACCTGGTTCACTAAGGGCAAAACATCCGATTTTCTCTCCGCTGGTGAAGGGAGCAATCCACTTGTGCTTCTGTTCTTCAGAGCCAAACTTGAGTATTGGCCCTAAATACAGAGACTTTTGGAATTGAGAGTTGAGTTAGTGCCTCTTGAAGGTACAAGCCATCCAGTCACTCCCTAATGTCTAAGTGCTGTCCAACACACCAGAACCCACCATGGGAACAGATCCCATTTCTCCCATACACTCCTCTCCAATAACCCCCCCAATGCCACTCAGTTCCACACCTGTCCCTCACACACAACCCGAGACACTTACATTATTCACGCTGACAATTACACCTGTGGACGCACAGCCCCTGCTGATCTCCTCCACGGCAATGGAATAGGCCAGGTAGTCGAGGCCTGCTCCTTTGTACTCCTCCGGCACATCCATAGCCAGCAGCCCTAAGCCACCCATCTTCTTCACCTGCACATAGGGAATGGAGAAGTAAGATCCTCTGCACCACCGGTATCGCAGCAAATACATGCAGACACACAGAGGGAAAGACAGGTCATAGCAGGACTACACATGGAGGAAAAGATGCGCACAACTCCTGGTGAAATGGGAATCTGACAGGACAAACTGTTAAGTGTCCCCAGGTCTTGATGACTTCCACAAGAGCTGTACGCAGTCACTGCTGCCTAAGACTAGGCTCTTGATCATTTAAAGAGTACCAGGAAGGAGGGAGCCTTTTGAAGGTGAAATAGGGAGATACAACCCCACCAGCATTTCCTCAGCCTCCCACCAAAGCTTTTCCCCTTGCATGTCTCCTGTCACAAGGAAGCTCCCAATGGGAAATCCAGCTGATAAAAAACATTAGAACTTTTCCTTTGAGTCTGCTGACCTTCAGCCTAGGACTGCGCAAAGAGAATTTTACAGAATGAATAACCCACAGAACAATTTGCAATAAGGTGATTTTTTTAATTCCCATTAAAGCCAGGTCTTGCTTCCCAGAGAATTTAATTGTTGGTTACGTTCCAAATTATTCCACCCCAAGTTCCTCAGCTGGACCCCTGGCTTCTTAACCATAAGCTCTTCAGAGCACAGACTGTCTCACTCTAGATCTCTTGTTAATGTCTAGCAACATACAAGAGAAAAAACAACCTCTCCTCTGTTTTTATATCTAAGATGTCAAGCTTTTGGTCTTGCAGAAATAACCATATTACCAGCCTCTGCTTACTTTAATAGGACCCAGGAGGAACTTTTAGACAAGTGTTTTCCCTCATGTATGGGCACTCAAAACACTAGTCCTTCACATCAAATCCAGAGGATGAACAAAAGACAACTAGTTCTATGTATGTTGCTTTATCTTAATAAACACTGTTTGCATTTTCAATTTTCCCCAACACATTCAAGTGAAAAGATTCAAAACCAAATGTAAAATTCTCAGGTAAGAACAGGAAAGCAGAGAGGAAAGTGTTTTCATCCTTAGAGTACGACTTTCCTGGCTATCATCTTCCTTACTCCTTAATAGAAAGAGGGGCGTATGACAAAACTTGCATGCCTCTGTGCTTGCTCGGAGCCTTTTGGCTAATGTAACAGTATGTATTTTTCTAGAGCTTAGAATTTCATTGCAATGAAGTAGGTGAGTTAGTCTGCTCAACACGGCACAGAACGTACTGCTGGGTCTGTACTGCTTTATACCAGAGAAGCCACGGGTTTGACTGGAATCTCAATTTCCTTACAGCCCTAGAGGATGACCGACATGCATCTCCTATCTCCTGATCACTTCTTTTCATCATCTGAAATGCACTCAGGTCATCTACGCTTCCTCACTATAAACCATTTTTATGGCTATGTGCAGTCTATGAAAGGATTTTATTGATTTTATAAGTCAGTTGCATTACAGCCCACAGGGAAGTCAGTAAGAGAACTGAAAATTCAATGGTACTAAAGCCAGATACAGAGAAACACAAGTCAAGGTAAAGACCTCAAAACATCCTCTGGGCAGTACAACCTCCACACTCAAAGAACTCTCCCACAAGTTGATCTAAACTTCAATTTCCTGCTAAGCCAAAGCTTAACATACATTGTGCTTCAGGCCCAGGTGGTCCTGCCACAGCAGCAGAGGGAAGTCAGGAGATCAGGGCACCTAGATTTCCTTCTTTGTTTTGCCATCAGGCTACCATGCTTTGCATGAGCATTTGTCCTGTACCTTTGAAAGCAATGCATTTTCCCTCCCTGGAAGAAACTGAGGTTTAAGTAATCGAGCTTGCACTTAAAGCAAGGTTTATGGTTTAGAGTTGGACTTGATGATCTTAAGGGTCTTTTCCAATCTGAATGGTTCTATGGTTCTAAGTCAGGCTCTGAACGAGCCAGTCTGCCTCTCTCCTGCCCACCTCCCGGCGGGAGCAGCACGCACCTGCTCGGCCGGGAAGCGGTGCTCCTTATCCAGCTGAGCTGCCAGGGGCATCAACTCCTTTTCTGCAAAGTCCCGGCACGTCTGACGCAGCATCTGGTAGGTTTCTGGCAGCTCTGCTGACTGGTACACAGTGTGCAGTCGGCGGAGGCACCCGAAGGCCAGTGCTGAAAGGCAAGAAAGGAATTAAGCGCCGTTGTTTCCCTTCACAGGAGGTCCCGGCCCAGGCGGGACTCACGCACGGCGGCTGGGGGCCTCCCCCGAGGGACACCGGGGGGGATCTGGGACGGTAGCCGGGGCACAGCGG